TGCCTTAAAAGAGAGCCAGTTCCAGAGCAGAGAGGAGAATCCAAGCACCAACAAGGAAGAACAGCCAGCAGCCAGCACATCCTTTGGACTCAGGATCCCTGCACTGAGAGGCTCCTGGACCCAGGATATGGAGAGCAAGCCGTAACCTTGAAGACGGTGAGAAGCAGTGGCAGGAGAGACCCAACAGCAGAGACCCAGCAGCAGGAGACAGTGTGGTGGGCTTTCCAGCCCACGGAGAGAGAAAGCTGAGTGCCTCTGGGCAGAGGTCGAGGACCAGGGAGAGGCATGCCTGCAAGCACAGCTGGGGGAGAGGCTGTCCTGATAGAAGAACAGTATCCTGAGTGTTCCTGAGCCTGAATTGTAACCTGTTACTTCCCTATTAAACCCCATAATTGTGCGTATAGTCTGTGAGTTGTGTGTGGCCATTACAATGAATTATGGAACCCAGCAGAGAAGCAGCGAATGCCGTGGGAGGGACGGTTGCTGTCAGAGTTGGTAAAGATGGTGGAGAGAGGAGGCGTGTCTGGCCTCTGCCTTATGGGAGTCAGCCTTGTGCTGTTGATCTTGCTTCTCCTTCCCCCTTGTGAAGTTAGAGGAGGTCAGACACTGCCCCCACATCGTTTTTTACAGTCTCAAAGAGAAAGTACTACTTTAAAGGCGGATGGAAAATGAGGCACAAAGACAAAGGCATGAATGAAACTAAATCTGTAATAAGGTGGTAAGGTGTGTCATCTGAGAATTTTTGGCTATAAGTAACAGAAATTGACTATGACTGACTTAGTGGGGAGTGGGGAGGAAGTTGTGGGAGGATTTGGGGGTAGTTCACAGAATCTAAAGAAAAGCCAAATAGACTTAAAAGGACAGCGTCCCTTCCAAGAAGACAAAGGGCCACTTCTTTAGGGCTGCACTGTAGAGATGAAAGGGCAGCAACCATTTCCAATCTTTTGGTCTCTCTGATGAAGATTCAGATTGCCTGGCACATAGTAGGAGCTCTGTCCATATAGATTAAACGAACAAATAAATGAATGGATGGAACTTCCAATGGGGAGAACAACTAATTGGCTGAATTTGGGTCACATACCTGCCCCTTGTGGGGAGGTCAGAGTACCTTGGCTGATGGTCTCACCAAGGCCACATACAATGGGGTAGTTAGTTCAGACACTGTTAGCAAAGGAGGGGAGGACGGATGTGGGGCAGACCCCAACAGGAGGCCCACCACAGGCACAGGCAGCACAGTAATGGCTGGTGGACTAGAGAAGGTGGTGGCTGTAGCAGCGCTGGGGTGGACCAGGCCCAATTAGCTCACCCCTGCAATGGAATGAAAAATGTCTGGAATGAAAAACCACGAAAGAAACTCCAGGGATTTGTTGACCACTTTCAAGGCTGGAATGAGACCCAGGAAGCAGACATCAGGGCTGGGTCTAGAAGGTTGGACGATGATTAGGTGGAATCCGGGGAGGAGACACTGGTGCTCAAACAAGGACAACACGGGGCCAGGCTTTGGTAATCAGCTACGTACATTCCTGGAGAAGTAAACCTGAGCCTTCTTCTCCCATAATACCCTTCTCGAGTTCCTTTTCTTCTTCTTCTTTTTTTGCCTTTAAAGAATAAAAATTTATTTTCTCACAGTTCAGGAGGCTAGAAGTCTGAATTCAGGGCATGGCTCTAGGGGAAAATCCTTTTTTTTTTTGGGGGGGGGGTGGTAAAAATATATACAACAAAACATTTGTCAATTCAACAGTTTTTACATGTACAATTCAGTGACATTGGCTCCGTACATCACGTCGTCCAACCATTAGCACTATGCTTTTACAAATCATTCCACTGCCATTCACAGAAACTCAGCGCCCCCTAAGCAATGACTCTTCCCTCTCCCTCCCTCTCCTACTGACCACTAATAAGCTTTGGTCTGTCTACATTGGCCTATTTAATATAAGTGGGATTGTACAATATTTGTCCTTTTGTTTCTGACTTATTTCGCTCAGCATAACTTTTTCTAGGTTCATGCATGTCGTACCGTGTATCAAGGCTTCATTTCTCTGTACAGCTGAGTAATACCGCATTGTATGTACATGCCACATTCTGTTGATCCATCTGTTCTAGTCTGCGTTCTCGAGAGGAGCAAAACCAGTGACACGTGTATATATAAATTATAGAGAGAGGTTGACTTCAAGGAAATGGCTCATGCAATCGTGGGGGCTGGCAAGTCCGAATCCACGGCTCAGGGAGCAGGCTGACGGCTTCTTCTGGCTCACGTAGTTGCATGGGGTGAGGAACCCAGAACCTGCAGGTCAGGGGGCAGGCTGAAGACTTGTGCAGGCTTACAAACCAAGCACCGGATGTCCGGCAAAGAGAAGAGGGCACAGACGAAAGAGGGAGTTTTGCTAAAACATCTAGTTATATCCTGGAGGCAGGCCCCAACGCCAAGGAAACGCCCCTTTCAACTGATTGGCTGCTCACATCACATAACACAACGGAAGGTGGTTACATAGAGTCTGCCAAATCACTGAGTATCAGCCTAACCAAGCTGACACATAACATTAACCATCACATCATTCCCGTGTTGAGGTACATTCAGGTGGTTCCTGCCTCTTTTGCTATTGCGAAGCGTGCTGCAGTGAACACTGGTGTATAGGTTTGTTTGCATTCCTGCTTTTAATATTTTTGGGTATATACCTAGGATTGGGATTGCTGGGTTTTATGGTAATTCTATATTTAATTTTGTAAGAACCACTACACTTTCCCACAGCAATTATACAATTTTGCATTTCCATCAGCAATGGACTCAGCTTCCTGTGCTTCCAGGCCTGAACTGAGGTTTCATCATCTATCCCGGCACTCTAACGCCCAATCACGGTTCACTGAGGCTATTTCAACTGTGTCATTTTACAGATGAAGTTGAGGACACGGCTTAGCGTTCTTGTTTCCCTTGATTGAGAGAGAAAAAAACTTACCCTTACTACCTTAAAAAAAAAAAAAAAGAGTGGTTAAACCAACCCAAGCCAAATAAAAAATGACTTCCATCAATGACTTTTTTCTGGGGTCAAGTCCTTTGATCTCATCTGTAAAACCAAGCAAGACAAATATTTTACCGTAAATTAGAACAAAGAGTCTCCCCCAATTTCCGAGGACGTCAATGGCAACGCACGCATCATTACTAGAGGAGATCGAAACGCATCCGCGATGGGGGGAGGGCGTCGTAATAAAACCTGAGGGCCCTGCCCACAGAACCAGTAAAGCGGGGCGAAGACGCCTCGTGGCACACCAGCCGGAAAATCGAAGCGTCTTTTTTGACCCCGGGTCAGAAAGATTTATTACTTCCTCCGTGAAGGAGGAGCCACAGGCCAGCTGGGACAAGGGAGCCAGAATCTGGGAGCTTGCACTCGACGTCCTTGGAGCGCTTCGGAGCGCGGATGACTCCTCGGCTCCACAGAGACCGGCCGCGCCGAGTCCGGGAGGAGAGCGGAGCGGGAGGCCGCCGGGGGATTTCTGCCCAAACTTCATCACCAACTCTTGCCGAGAGCACAAACGTGGGGCCCACTCCGGCAGCGGCACGCAGAATGCTTACGTCTCCGAGCTCTAGGCGCTCGAGCGCTCTGAACCCCGCGCCCGCCCCCCGCAGGCTTTGCGCATGGAGAGCTACGCCCTCGGTCGAGCGGGGAGCGGCCCGAGAGGCGCCACCGCAAACCAGGACCCGCACCTCCATCCCCCAAAGCGGAGGCGGTTGGAGCAAGCAGCTGTAAGAGGGGAGGGCACCGCGGAGGGCGGCGGAGGAGGAGCGCGGTGAAGGGGAGGAGTCGCGGGGACGGACGGCCGCGCGCACCAACCCGGCGCCGCCTGGCAGGAGTCGCGCAGAGGCTGGCCCGAGCGCGTTGCAGCCGGTCGGCGTAGGGGGAGTCGGGTAGCAGCATTCTCCCGGGCGCTGCTTTCGCTTGGCGGCGGCAGCGGGGTCTTTTCTGCTGCGATACCTTGTTGGCCAGGAGCGGGTGGTGCCAGGGGCGGGGTGGGCAGGGTAGCGCTGGGGACCCGGGCTCCTTTGCCCAGAGGTGTGTTTGCAGGATCCTCCCGGGCTAGTCGGAGGCTGGGAAGCGGCGGTGGCGCTGCCCGCCCGGGCATCCTCTGGATGATGGAAGAAACCGCCGCAGCTGCTGCCGTTGCGGGGTCGCGTTGTTCCCCATCCGCTGCTGCTGCCAGAGAGATGGGAAGATTCACGGCGCGGAGGCCAAGAGCAAGAGAGGCAGAGCCGCTGTGCCGGGGACTGGGTCCCGTGTGAACCCCATCCCCCGCCGCCCCCAGCCGGCTTCGCACCCTGGAGCGCTGTTCGCGGGCGAGGAAGGGAAGCTGCGGTCTCTGGAGAGTGGAGAAGACGCCACTCTAGCCAGGACGCGCCGGACCCTTGGCGGAGCGGGGAGCAAGGCATCGGGCCCGGTCAAAGTTTCCTTCCCGGAGCGCGGGACGCCCGCTTCTCGGAAACCCTGCTCAGCACTCAGGCTGCCAAGGGCCGGTGAGTCTCGAGGCCCCCTCTAAGGTTCGGGGACCCACAGCAGGAGAGAGCGGGCGAGAAATCGAGGAACGGGTGACAGCCGGACAAACCGCCGGGCCGTGTACCCGGGCCGCTCCGGGGCGCGCCCGCTGCTCCAGGTGAGCGGGGGAGCCGACTAGACCCCAGGCTCTTTATAGGCGGGGGTGGGGGCTAGGAGGAAGATGGGGCGCACCCGCTCACTCCACTTCCCTTCGCAGGTCTTTCCCGGAGCCGCTGCCATGGGAGAGCCATCTCGAGGCGCCGGGGACCAGCCGCCGCTGCC